ATTAATGGAAATTAGCACATGAAGTTGTGAAGAAAGCAGGAAACGCCACAGGAAATTCCTCAGAGGGAGGGTAATGCTATCTCTGATCACTGCCCATGTGGCACCCGCATTGTGTAAGCCGACGTGGTGGGAAAATACTGGGGACTTTGTCACAGGGGAGATGTTAAATACACTGAGATATTTTAGAAATAGCGCTTGTGCGTGTTGATGTTACCAGACATCGTGTTTGCCAGGGATTTGAGTATATATCCTATTTGATTTACTCGTATTAAAAGTTTGTTTTTATGATACATGTTGCTTTTAGCAGAAATATAATTTCAATCAGATGTAAACCATAATTATGCATAACAGCAACTTCCTGCAATTTTGACAAGAACATCAACTAATCATCTTAATACCAGATATTATTGTATGAAAGTCTCTGTGAACCATGTTCACTTCCTGTGTGAATTTCATAGTCAGTGAAACAGAAAGGTGTTGTGTTGGTAATCTAATCTGCACTAGAAGAAAGTACCGTGTGTCTGTCATCACAGTCACGGGCTCATGTGTAATCCTCGGAACACACAAGTTGACACTTTGCAATTGTACTGATTGACTAACAATGAAACTCCTTTCTTTTTGGCTCTGCTGAACGAATCAAAATAATGAAGGTGGACGTTCAGGCTGTCGGCTGGCAGATGCCAACTTGATCTGAAGGACAATCTGAGTTGCTTTGTTATTGGTGTCAGGAAGGCGATAAGATCATGTTGATGTCATGTGTCATAAATCCACTTTGTTGGGCCAAGTAATGTCCGCATGTACGTTTCGTATTCAAACAAAGACGCAAGATTGGACACTAAATGAAACGTCCCTGTGAAGAAACATGACGTGAGGTCTTATGTAAAAGACATGAGAGAGAGAGAGAGAGCAGCACGGACCCACCTGCAGCCTCACAATCTATTAATGGTTGACCTTCAAGACCATTTCTCTTCCTTATGTAATGTGTCCCAGCCCCTTTCTTCTATCTTTAACAGACTTATTATTATTTTATTACATCACTACCATTTGACAAAGCAACTGCCTCTTAGAGATCGCCATGGGGACTCATACAACTCAATGCTTCAATGGGAATTGAATTTATGAAACAAAACTGGAAATGTCGCCTAACATTATGATGAAGATTACGTTCATGTTTGAGAGAAGTTTTAGCTTTATATATATATCATATAAACAGGGAAAAATAGTTTCTCAGTTGACTGACTAATACTGTAAGTGTGTGGCAGGTGGGGCTGTCGGTTGGAGGTGGGTGTCCGTTTTCCTCCGGCTCACCTCGCACGAACTCCGGTTCCGTCTGACAGCCACAAAGAGGGCACAGTTTCAGACTTGAAACAAGGGCCGTCATTATAACGCTGCCAAAGTGACAATGTGTGTGAAGCTTTCAATCTCACTTGGTGACGGAGCGACGTTTCCCCCGACCCGTGTTTGGGAGCGTGAAATCTTTTGAACTGTGGAAATTCTTCATTAAAGGGACTATTTCCTTCAACAGAAATAACTTCCAATGACAACCGCTGTCAAGAATTGACAAGAACGATTTTCCACGCAATGAGGTCAAAAATGAATTTCTATTAAACTACATTGAATTGATTTGAGGCAATAAATAATATCTCAAACATAAAGGCCTCCCATTCCTCAGAGGTCCGACAGTCTGACGGATCAAAGGATTTGGTTTGTCTCCGCTCTCGCAGACACGACACAGTACCTGGAAACTCCATGTTGAGTCTCAGTGAACCAGATGCGTGATTGTGATCCCCCGGCCTCAGTCTCCTTTAGTGTACTGCCAAACAGACAAAAGATCATTTGAACCAGACCGGAGCGGCTCGCGAGCCCCCCAGATAAAAGTCATCGACCAGAATGTTCTAAAAGCATCAGCAGACTCTGCTCGTCCTCCCTGCTGGAGAGATAGACGGACGGAACTAGGCCGACGCTCCGCTAAAGTTAGCAATGCAATTAGTTCACACGCTAATTAGCTGTGAGAGGAGCAGAGGCTCTCCACGGATTTCCCTGGTGTCTGAAACCTGTTTCTCGGCCCTGAATAAAAGTAAATGAGGTCCTGGCAGCTGCAGCAGGAGGTGTCCAAAAAGAAAAAGCATGGCACATCCTACATTACATAGATAGTAGTAGTTCAAAAAGGGGATTAAGTCAGGTTTAGTTATGGAAAATGGGAACGATTTCTTACACTTCTGGCTGCTTGATCAATGGTCAGTAAAAGCAACTTTCTGCATAACAGCGGTTCCCAAACACAAGAGGTTGGACGTTCTTTTGTAGTTGAATCCACGGCACGACTTGAGAGCCGTCACTTGAGGCAATTTATCCTCCAGCTTTAAACAGCTTTTTGTACGTCAACAAAGTATGATTTTTATCACAAGACAAAACTAACTTTAAATCTCTATTATGGGGGAGCAAGCAGAACATTTTAAAATGTGTTAAATCTTTTAAGAATCCAAATTGCAGATTGAAAAAGGCTTTGTATTGCACTCCACCATAACGGTTCAGAAATATCCCTTTAATGTCCCTCATGCTTCCTTCTTTACTCAACTCTGCTCGGCCAGAAACGTGGTTTCACTTTAGGACACACATTCCCACACACTTGTATTCATTAGCACTTGCCAAGCGCAGCAATTCATTGCAACGCAAATACAGCGTCTGATTAGTTTTGCTTTAATCTTTGCGTGTACGGACACACGCGTGTGAGTGCGCGTTCGAGGTGAAACTGCCAGCCCAAGAATGTGGAGGAGACATAAGACAATTAAAGCCCTGTTGAGGGAGGGTTGGCGACCCAACGGTGCTCTGGATGGATGTCATGTGTATCATGACATCATGCTTCACTTGACAGCCTGTGGACACATCCGGCGTTCATCACGGAGGAGGTCGAGTGGATGCGTTCGGCCTCACATGACATCCCTGCAGTTTGAATTCCCAATCTGGGGCTGTTCTTCCAGACAAAACCTGCCAAGAGATATTTAAAACGTCCCCGTTCTCTGTAAGAAACGGGTGTCTGACCAACAAGCGGCGAAGGCTTTACACCGTGGTTTGTCTGACAGTGGAGAAGAACCTCTCTGGTGGAACATCAGCTATTAATACACTTGTTCTCCCCTGGAGGGACGGGATTGGGAATCCCACCCATTTACGGGAAAAGGGCTGCGTCTCAAGGAAACTGATCCCGATCTGATAGCTTCGGGTTTTTTCTCAGACGAAAAAAAACAAAAAGAAAAAAATGTTGCATTCTTTTCAACATTATTTTTGAAAGGCATTAACTCTTTCTCTCCCGGGGATTCAATTGTTAATAACTGATACCTGAAAAGAAAACTGAAACAGACAGTTTGAAGACAGTTGAAACAAACAGACAGTAAACCTTTTCAATGTAAAGCATGTTAAATGGCCTTTTTCATAATAAATCAAATTCTTTTATAGCTTCCCTGTATCTTTAGTTTCAAGCACTTTAAATGCACACTCTGTCATCCAGCACCCGGTCAAACAACCCGAGTATCGACGACGGAGACCCATAAATAACAGGCCCATGTGCACCCGATAGAGTCCACAAATAGTGCAACAGTCCTGAGGGTGAAGACGTCGTGGCAAGTCTCTCATCCTCCAGAGGCAGCGAGCCAACATGACAGCCGCTGGCCCGTATAACTCCCATATTCCCTCAGTGACAGAGAGCCTTTTCATGCTCTCATTAACTTGTGAGTAAATCATAGAGGGGAAACACTGCCGTGCACTTATTCCCGAGCCTCGACCAGCGGCGGTTGTCTGGAAGCGTTCTGCAGAAACAAACCAGATGTCGGCCTGGAGATCGTGTGACACGAAGAGAGGCAGAGATAAGGAGTAAGACAAAAAGTTACGACAAATCATTGAGTTTTTATTTCATGCAGTATGATGGAAGAAGTGATAGAAAGGTTTCAGAGACCTGAGATGATGCCTGACCTGCTACTACCTTTGCTGCCTTGATCTCCAGGCATTTAGCTTTGAGTCATAAAGTTGCATTTGGGACCATAATAAATACACTTCCTTGTCTATTCTCATCCAACACTTCCTTGGAAAGTAACAACCATCCGTTACAGCCATCGTGAGGCGCATACAGATGCCAGACCATGAGAATTGATACATTTAATCCCTCCGCTATTGTAACAGGGGTTCGGACGTGGTCACAGTCTGAGGGGTCAGGCGGTTGTTTCTGTTGAACCCCCACCGACTGAATCTATTTTCCCGAGGCACCTACGACACTCATCTGGACCACAACAATGCCCCCTTTCTCCTCTCCGCCTCACGCTCGGCCGGCTTCTCTCAATACGACGCAGGGGCAAAACAATCCGTACCCCTGAACCCCCACACAGCCCTCACACACACGGTAACACACACAACGAACACACGACTTAAATGGTCACACGTGTGGGGGGCTCACTGAGACAAAAGTCTCACTTGTAGACTTCACAGGCACATGCGTAAACATTGAGCAAATTCTAAACGCCTGCACGTGAGCTCACATGTAAAAACACGGAGAGAATAAAAACGATACACATGAGGAGGTTTAAAGCTCAAACATCTGCGAGAGCCGAAATGGGAATCGGGCCACTCAGAATTACGACACTGCCCTCACGTGGCGACTGTGAAGAAATAGAAATGGTTTTCTTCATTTCTTCCTCACAATTAGTTGATATTGTTCCCAAAATCTGAGCAATTTTGACTGAGCAAAACTGAGCAAAAATAATCCAATTCACACAAACTTATACAAGGGAACCCGGTGACCTTTTGACATTTACGTGGATGTAATAGTGCCAATGTACAGCCGGGGACGTATGTAGGCTTTAAAATGATTCGGTAAACTCCTTTCAGAAATATGTGTATATACTGTACATATAGTACATATTGTATTAAGCGGTACTGTTAATCATAGAAGGTCTGAAGATGCTTCCTGTCGCACCACTAAACGTCCTGAGTGAGCTGCTGATAAGCAGCTGTCCCGACTGTCGTCACTGAGAGAATAAAGTTGCTGTGAGGAGGGCAGAGCCGCCGTGTTGTGGACAGGAACCATTCATCACACGATATCTGACCTTCAGGCCTTTGGGTTGAAACGTGCTCGACAGTAAACAACCGAAACAAGTAAGAGTTTATTTTCTCATCATGTATTTCTGTTCAATAGTACTTACTACAACTTTACTATACCAACTATTTGATAGTTTTCATTTAAGTTGTTGTGTCGTAATGATTTTGTGTCTCAGAATCAGCATACTGATAACTGATGATGATTAACCGTTTTGGAGAGCTAAAGCTTTGATATTGAAATCCAAAAAGCTCCGACATTCCTCGCCAGAACATATTGGTATTGAAGCTACTCTTTTACATCTTGGTACTTATGAAGCAAATAGAAGCTCGTCTGCTTAAGTTATCTTTGCATTTTGTTAAATAATATAGCTGCAGTTGCAGCAACTGAAATGTCGCCTTGTTTTTATGATTTATTGATTAATCCTATGCACAACTCATCCGGGATGGCCCATGTCGACATCCCTGCACTAGAGCGTAGTCTCGCCCTAAAACCGGCCCCCCGGGAGCAAGTTGGTTTGTTTTGATAAGAAGTTGAAGGTGGTGAAGTCACCATTTTGACATCTTATCTCTACAGCCATTTACGGGGCTGGGGCCTTGAACAGCTCTCTAAATTGTAATTAAAAACACACATTTTAAATATTCATTTCTCATTTCACTGTTTAATTCTACGAGGTGTCCGATTGAAAAAGGTTGGAATGTGCTCTTGGAGATGTTATAGAATATGCTAATTAATATGCTTTTTATAGACTTATCTCATTTATAGTATTATAGTAAAATATATGTAATATAACAGATAACTCAACTTTTAGGCAGATAAACTTCTAGAACAGCCTCTTGTATGTGTGTATTTCTCAGTGTAAAAACAGAAACAATAAAACACTTTTATTCCAGATGATTGAAATGTCACACGTGTAATTCTACATGGAACTGGTCATTTCTGATGAACATACACACGTTAACCGACTTGAAAAAATGTCACTATAAATTACAAAAATTTCCATCACACATTCCACACATTTTGTAAACATTTACGTTTTCTGAACCACTTCAGTCACAGTGTCCTTGCCCAAAAATCAATTAAATAACAATCCATCAATTAAAAGTAGTATTCTCACTACCTTCTTTCTTAAATTTGTAAATCGTTTATTTTATTTAATGGACCATTTGATTTACCTTCATGACACAGGGACATGTGTGTGTGTCTAGTATGACTATGAAGTAGTTTAGACATAGAGTCATACGTATACATACCGGCTTTGCGTCATCATGTCTTAAAAAAACGATGTCAGTGTGATTAATCGACACATTCACAAGCGTTTGGCCCAAACAAATAAGTTCATCGTCAGAGCAGTGCCTGCTGGGAAGGGAGACAGACAGACAGACAGACAGATAGACAGAGGGTGAGACAGAATAGAAAAGAGATTGTAATGTGCGTATGAGTGTGTACGTATCATTGTCCAGGCCTCCCACTGATCTACTCAGAGGGTCGAAGAACAACGTGATCAGGTGACCCGTCCGCTCCGGCCTGCAACGGGTCGGGACTGGGGGGCGAGTTGCTCGGGTAACTTCCCTAAATGGATTACAAGACAGCATACGTCAGTGAAATGGCACCTGGACATACATACACACACATATACACACACACACACACACAGAGATTAGAAAGTTTTTCATTTTTCAACCCCTGAAAGGAGCTTGAAGAAGAGACACGAGACGTTGGCCTCGACTCTGCATCTTTGACGTTTCTCATCCCTTTTTTTCACTCACTGTTTGAACCCTTTGACCTCCAACCGCGATCGCCTACACCGGACGAACGATTCCCCTTTTTCTTCCAGATATCTGTTGTCTCCCTGAAATCTGGCCGGAGCCTCAGCTGCCACGACAGAAGGATGGCGTCCAAGGACGACGGCGAGTTTGACGCCCTGGCTCCGGACAACAGCCTGGTCTGGACTCCGGACACGTCCGGGCTGGAGGGGACCGCCGACCGGCTGGAGCAGGTGATGAAGAACATGGAGGAGCTGCTGTTGGACGTGGAGCAGCTGCGGAGCGAGTGCAGCCTGCAGGCATCTGAGCTGGTCCGCGCGGCGGGCGACCTGAGGCAGCAGCAAGAAGAGCTGAAGGAGAGTTACGCTGACTTGTCCAGAGACATGCAGGAGATCATGGAGTCGTTTGAAGAACTCTTCAGCAGCAGGAGCGACTCGGCAAGCACAGTGGAGCAGGCAGATAAACTGAACCAGCAGCCCACGGGGAAAGAAAGTGACTGATAGACTTTGTTTCTCGTTGAGTGTGTGGTTTTGAATTCGGATGTGTGCGTCAAAATGTGGTTTGGATTGGTATCGAGGTGGGGCGGATGTTTTGCTGCAACGCTTTAATGAGATCCTTAAATTTGATTATATACACTTTTCTGTAGTGCAAATTACACTTTCCAGGTTCTATATTTGACAATCACTTGCACTGGAAGGCAGTTTGTAAAATGCATTGTTATGTGTCATTAAATAAATGCAAATGCACGCAGCCTCAATAATAGCTGATAAGATGAAACAAAACCTCTGTGGAGTAGTTTTAATAAAAAGGTCAATGAAATGTTACATGGGTGGAATTTGGGGCATTCACGTTATATTTCCACTCGTCTTTAACACACATTAGAGAGACCTGCGTGTCAACAAATGATTTACTTTGACTTCTGCTGTCGTTCTTTTTGACCCTACACACACACACAAAAAACACACACATACATACATCACAACTATCATTTTCCACCACCATGGGGGTTGAAAGTATCTTACTCCTATCAGCCTGGATGGATCCTCCAGCATCTGTGGAGCAGCAATGTTGCTCTTTGTCGCCTCACTGTCGCCTTTCTTGCATATACTCCTCCATCCAGGCTCTAAATAGAGCAGTGTGTGTGTGTGTGTGTGTGTGTGTGTGTGTGTGTGTGTGTGTGTGTGTGAGTGTTATTTTCAAGTGGGTGAGTGTGTTCCTCCAAACACAGAGTGTGCTCCTCTGCTGTGAATTACTGGTGTGTATTTAGTGGTTATGGGACGTAAAAGGGACAATCGGTGGCCAACGACTTCAACATAAAACCATCAACGCTGACTGGTAACTTGGCAAAATCTCTCTGACCCTCAATCTCACTTTGGTGGGTTTCTAAATGTGTCAACTTTTGAATGTTGGCTATCCTGCAAAAATTGGAGCCAGTTGTTGCTGTCACAGTGTTTGTGATATTGTTGAGTTTTTAAAGAATGTGCATTCATCATTAGAGTCTAATCCCAGAGCAAACTAGATTAATCCATCCCAAATACTACAAAAAAGTTTTTTATGGCATGACAAGATAATATGATTATATGAACCACAGCTGTTTTTTCTTGTGTTTCAGACAATGGAAAGCACATCGGGTTGTATTTTCTATCTGGGGACACATGCCGGCTATAAATAATATGATTTATGAGCACATATTGTTTATTATGCATTCAATAAAAAGTATTATCACATGTGAACGTCAAGATTAAAACCATTAAACTGTTTCCCTTGAGATGTTTCATTGTTGACTGTAGGGATGGTAACAAAAACAGTATCCTAAAAAAATTCTCCCTCGACAAAGAAGCTTTCAATAATTGTCCAAAGGATTCATGCAAAAGGCATCATTTATTCAATTGAAACACATGCTGTACGGATTTGATATTAAATTACAAGGGTTTTGACCTGAAACACCGTTCAACACATAGGATATCTCAGTTTAAATTCAACGTTTAAAAGAAGATCACTTCGTTTGGAATTTTCTGTGTGGTTGAAACCGGACACTTAATGAGCCGTGGTGTTGTTGAGCAGAGAGGCTGAGGAGATACAAAAGCCGGGCGTCAGTGCCCACCTCCATCACGAGAGAGGAGCACAGCCCTCTGGACGTTCTACGGATCCCTTTGGAGAAGGTAAGACAAACCGATACGTGCATCTGACATACACAATGCATCATGCGTCATGAGAAGTACTTGTACTTGGAATTTCATTCTTTTTATTTTGCAATCCATGTCAGTTGTGCAGCAGTTTCTGGTGAAAATGAACGTCCTGCAGGTCTTGGGTCTCCTACAGCTGCTGGCAGTTCCTGCTTTCACTGTGAGATATTAGCTTTAACAATAGCAATGCCATTTAAATACCCATATCAGCAATAAGTGCAATTGATGCTATTTATATGCCACAAAGAGGTGTTGTGCAACGTCCTGAGGACGGTTTGTGGCTGAATGTTCCTACTTCTATTTTGGCGTCTCTGGTGTGCAGTTAAGTGTGTGTTAGTGGTTCGCGGCGGGCTGTGATTTGACGTGTGAAAGAACACTTTGTGTTCCAAAAGCCGAGTTGTTTTCCTTCTTTCAGCTGGGGCGGCCAACCCGCGACCACTGGGGACAGTTTGGGGCCTACGGGCCCTGCAGCCGCACCTGTGGAACGGGGGTGACAACGAGGACCAGGACATGTATCACTTCCAGGTGGGACATGGAGACATAGAGCGACGGGACGTCTCTTCTATTGAATGTTTTGCAACGCGGGGCCCTAATTTTAATTTCTAATGAAAGCAGCACAACATATGTTTCGATTTCTGCTGTTGCTCTCCATTATCTGGCATTGCGCTGTTTATTCTTTATCGATCGTTTGTAAAGTTGTGTACATCATCTGCATTAGTAAAGATGCATTAAAGAAGAAAGAGAGAAGCAAGTGAATGACATTATTTCTTCTCTCTTACAGGACAGATGGTGGACATAATTGCATCGGCTCCTCCAAGTCCTTCCGAACTTGTAACACACAAGTAATCGTCTTCATTTTGATCCTCTTGACAAATTCCACTCATGAATAACCAACACAGATGTTTCCGATGCCGACGATCCATCATTTTGTTTCACGGCAGGAATGTCCGGTTGGATCCAGGGACTTCCGGGAGGAGCAGTGCTCCCAGTTCGACAGAGCGGACTTTCAGAGCAAGAGCCGCACATGGGTGCCTTTTTATGGAGGTATCCAAAACCCACCATAACTGACTTTATGAAAAAATACTTTTAAATAACTATTTGTGTTACAGTGGTGTGGATGGTTTTTAATTATAAGAATGTTTTTTTGGTTAGGTTAGGTTAGAGCAGATATTTTGATCCCTTGATCTATGTGCTATTTGTTTCCCCAAGCATCCAACCCATGTGAGTTGAGCTGCGTCCCAAGAGGAGAGAACTTCTTCTACAGACACAGAGCTGCCGTGGTGGATGGGACACCCTGCTATGTGGGCCAAACTGATATCTGTGTGGAAGGCGTCTGCAGGGTGCGAAGAAAACCGGGCTTCCACGTTAAAAAATGACAGACTTTCAGAACTTTTGTTTCATAGTTGCGGTAGTGTAATAAAACACAAATTCTCTCTCTCTCTCTCTCGCTCTCCAGATACTGACCCATGCAGAGTTCGTGGGCTTGGATGGCGACGCTGACGCAGCTCACTCTACTGCTGTGGCTGCTGTCGCCCCTCCCCCGAAGGAGACCCTCACGTACATCTACAAAGTCGGTGTGTATGGCCAGTGCTCCGCCTCCTGCAATGGAGGCACGCAGCATCGCAGCGTGGAGTGCCGGCTTGAGGGCCGAGCGGACCCCCGTGCGGCGGAAGAGTCTCACTGCGTCGCCCAGCGCCTGCAGAGGCCACACAGCCAGCAGGCCTGCAACATGCAGCCATGCGTTGCTGAGTACAGCGTCTCCAGCTTCAGCGTGGTATGTGACATCATACAGACGTACCCAAAGAATGGGAAGAGGTCCGAGACCTAATGAAAATAAACTTGCAGAATATTTATCATGTAAAGCACAAGAGAAACCACAGCATAAGCATATGACTCAATGTACACTTTTGCTGTATTTCCACACAGTCCAAGAGTAACTTTTTTTTGTGGTGGTCAGTGTTCGGTGACTTGTGGGGAAGGCAAGCAGACGAGGGCGGTGACCTGCGTGGGGTCAAGAGGTGAACGTCTACCTAACCGGGCTTGTGTGGGACTGGCAAAACCCCCTTCGGTCCAGGCCTGCCGCAGACCCGCCTGTTACACGCACGTCACCTGGCATGTGACTGACTACGGACTGGTGGGTGAAATTGAAGAAAACACAATTGGAGTCGGTGCACTGGGAAGAACGAAAGCCTCTTTCCTCTTTCCCCTCTTACGTTCTGTCTGTGCAGTGCACCAGGAGCTGCGGTGGTGGTGTGAGAGAGAGGCGAGTGAGCTGTTTGGATATGGATTTGAACTCCTACCCAGAGGCCCGGTGTGGAACAGCTACCAAACCTCTCGCTGTGGAAACATGCAACGCAAAGCCGTGTCCCAGAGCTCAAAGTCAGCCCCAATCTGATCCAATGAACTCTTTTGGTTTGATTGTGAATGCCTGTTTGTATTTAACCAATGCATTTTATATCTAGTGGTTCCAAGTGTGCAGGATCCAAGGACCCGTGAGAGCACCATGACAGGATTTGTACCTCATGTTCCAGAAGACCCTCCAGGTATGTATAATCCAGTCCAGGTTTGAGGTTACATGAGGTTACTTTCCATATGTAGCTAAAGCAGTACGAAACAAGATGCACAGAGAATGTTTAAAATGATTGACAAACATTTCAATGCACAGGTAGACGGCATGTACAGTAAGGTTGTTTGACCATGTCTGTATCTGTGTTTGCTTTGCTTTAGCTCCCAGGCGGCAAACGGACATTGCCTTCCCTCCTGTGATTGGTCCTTACTGTGCACAGTCATTACACGGCTGCTGTCCTGACGGGCACACCTCCGCCACGGGGCCGAGGAACGAGGGCTGCACACAGGACGACTGTGTTCGCACCAGGTATCACAACTTCCTGCATCCGTCTCTTTAAACCAATGTGTGACATAAGTTGAAACAATGAATATGCATCTTGGCTCTACACAAATTCTGGCCAACATTTAAAAATCTCTCATACCAGGTACGGGTGTTGTTTGGATGGTGTGACTGCAGCTGGAGGATTTGGAAGGGCTGGATGTTCAGAGTACCCGACCGCTGTGGTAGGAATCATCTCTGTGATCACGTAGATCTCTTGAAATTAGTTTACTCTTCAAGGAATGTGCTACCCGTCCCGTGCAAATGGTTGTACAGGGCGTTCTTTGGCTCTGCAGAGGCTGTGGCAAGTCTGAGCAAAATCCTCAAGGAAATTTATGAACCAAAGCGTTGGCTTCAAATAGAGGGTTTTGATTTTGAAACATGTAGTTGTTCACTAGGCAGGGAGGATCTATTTAATTAAGTGTGTGATCCAGTGTTTTAGGAATTCAACCGATTTAACACGTCTAGAATTGAAAATTTAGATTTTAATCTATCAATTAATCATATCACTTTACCCCATTTTTAAACAAGAACTGCCCGTATAGCCCCTGCTACACACATCAACACACACACACACATTGGCTTTACAGTGCAATTTACTTTTTCTTTCATTTTTCCTAAGCAACACAAGGCACCTTCTACCCTTCCATCCTCTGGGAATGTGTGCTCCATGCCTCGTGATGAGGGCCCCTGTGATAAATGGAAGGTCCGCTTCTACTTTGACTCTGGCGCAGGAAAATGCACTCAGTTCTGGTATGGAAGCTGCCACGGCAATGCTAATAACTTTGTGTCCATGGAAGCGTGTCAGAGAGAGTGTGGGAACGTGATGATGACGGAGTCCGGCCCTGCACCTCACAAAGGGACCCCAAGGAGAAAAGGCACAAAGTAGTGCTTTGAGGGCACGGGCATGACCCTGCTCCCCGATAATTCCTCCAAACACTGTTATAATCAGAGTTTGAGGCTACTCTTGTGATATTTACACTCTTGAAATTCACAAACATGTATTCTAAAACTTACCAGATCCCGCCCTTATTTGAAACATCAGACTTTATGTTAATCTATTTAGATTGTCTCACAATAAAACTGACATGAACTCTGCTCGTGGTTCTGATTTTGTTAGTTTGAGCTTTGTTTTTGTTTGATGCTCATTATATTTTGCTTTTACACAAGGACTACGATGAAACAATGTCAATGTGATAATAAGTTACATCTAAAACCTAATCAATAAACTTTGAGCTATCTGGTAAGAAATATGTTTATGTGTTAATGTTTTTTCCCTTCTTTCATATTGAAATACTATACATTGGGGCACTAATAATAATAACAATACAGAAATCAAATATAAAATCGAATGTATAGAAGGCTTTTATTGTATTTATAAGGTCAGACATTTATTTTGAAACTAAAACTTTATTTTTGACGCAACCGGAAACATTGTAGTTCATTTCCTCTGACTATTCACCCCTAAGCAGCTAGCTAGTTTAGCTACATTGCACGGAGACCTGAGAAGCATTAAACACTGTTTTTCCCAGTTTTGCATGTCCAATAAACAGACAGGCCCCACAGTCGGCACAAACATGGTAAGGAAATTTTGTTTTATGCGTTAAGACGTGGAATTATTTGCATTATCTGACGTTATATCACCTGTTAGCTCCTGTTAATCCACCATGGCTAAGCTAACGCTGCGTGGAAAACGCTTAACGCTAACTCGCAGACTCCAATGTCTTTCCTTTGCAGTTAACACGTATTATACACGCTGGTTTGCTCATTTTAAGTTGTCCCCCTGAATGTGGATGGAGTAAAGTTAACTTCGTCCAAGATGAAGAAGATGATAATTGCATTAAAGTTACAGTCGGATCTGTTGCTAAACAACCAACGTTTTTCTCGTATTTTAAAACCTCCGGGAGAAGGCGAACACACGATGTATCGGAAAATATTAATTCATCTGCCCATTAATAGTTTGCGGGTTTTGTTGATAAATGCCACTAGCTGCCTTTATTGTGTATTTAATGTTGTTAATCGTCTTTACAGTCGCACACAATTTTGCTTGTTCAACCGACCAAGAGACCCGAGGGCCGCACTTACGCTGACTACGAGTCGGTGAATGAATGTATGGAAGGTAAGTGTTCAGGTGATCCCTTCTTCATGTAATACCATGAGGGACATTACGTTATCATCTGAGTTATAGTCCTCATCGAGGGCAAAGAAATAATACGATCTTAAGCACGATATTGGCTCCTTGTGGTCATTCAATTAGTAAATATCTCATGTCACGGATCAAAACATATTTAAGAATATTTGCAGTTCATGGTTTGTTTGATGCGCCTTGAATGCCGTTTAATGGCAATCTGTATTAGAGTATTAAGTTTATATGGTTTTCCATTTATTTTGTAATTTCTTGGTTATTATCCTAAAACCCTTCCTTTTTAGTGAAATCTGTGGTGTTTTTTACTTAGTCTCTCGTAAGAATCAGTTTTACAACATGAAACGCTGCGATCGAAAAATGGCAGATGCAAGTTCCTTTTTCAGAAAGGCAGGTTCCTTTTTTCAGACCGGCATAAACTGATCTCAACGGACGGAAATTGCAAAGCTCAAAAAGATACATTATATTATTTAAGACGCTGTACTACTTTCAGGTCACTGTTTTGTGTTAATTTCTCAATAGTTTGAAACATTTTGTGGGATTTGCAGGAAAGACAAGGAGGCAGGTCGATGCCTTTCTGAAAAAGGAACCTGCCTCTTTTTTGATTGTGTCACTCATGAAAGCCTCGTACTCTAAATTAAGTTTACTTTAATGTATGCAACATTTACTTTTCTATAGATGCACAATAGTTCTACTTGCATTCAGCCGGTCTTGCACCTGTCTTCTAGGTGTTTGCAAAATGTATGAAGAGCATCTTAAGAGGATGAATCCAAACAGTCCGTCCATCACTTACGACATTAGTCAGTTGTTTGACTTCATTGACGACTTGGCCGATCTGAGCTGTCTTGTGTAAGTATGATTTGGCTTATAATTTGAATGAAAGCAACTTTGAACTGGGTGTATTTCGGTCACCTCCACTAAAAATCTGATTTGAACTGTTGTACAGGTACAGAACTGACACTCAAACGTACCAACCGTACAACAAAGACTGGATCAAGGAGAAGATATATGTCCTCCTGCGGCGTCAGGCTCAGCAGGCAGCAAAGTAAAGGCATCGGTGTGGAGTTGTCCGGCCACACACACTTGGAAGGAGTTTATACTGCACTGTATTTCCACTGTGTCTTGAAGACCTTTGTTAAAGGACACCATTGTCAGTTTGACAAGGGGAGGGTTTTCATATTATACTGTATATGGGAAAATGAAAGGGTTTGAAAACTGGGGGGGGGATTTGACGCTTCATTTAGAATTAGAGTCCTGCTCTGCAGCATACATGTTAAAATGCTCAACGGGTTAGGTAAAAACTTTTTGTCAAATATTTGGTAATGTGCTTTCAGTTTACCCAAAAGTTGTGGACTTCTTTTTTTGATGTACCATTTACATTGCTGTTTTATTTGAAGATGCTGTGGATTTTAAATGCAGATGCTTACTTTTCGAATGCCTGCAGACTGACCAATCCATTCATGTAACAGATCCCATACGATTTCTTTTCCGTATTTTATCTGTTATTGTCACTATATCCTACCATTATTATATAAAATCTTTTTTTTATGTTTTGCGTAGTATCTGATTTTAACTATCCACATTGTTTTCTTTTATTCTACCAAAATAAACTATTGTTTTCAGACTGGTCTGTCCTGCATTTCAATCCAAACGTTATCCCCTCATTTAGACCTCATTTAGTGAGTCTTGGAATAGCAATTGCTGGTTGACAAGCATTTACACGTGGATCCATTTATCTGCCAAATGGATCCCCTACTTGTCGAATTATGACAAGCTGCTGGATGGTAAGTGATATTAAAGCCGACAATGTTGGATATTTTTCTGGAGGCTTTCGGCGGGTCGTTCCTGCTGATAAATATAAGAAATTGAATTTGTAGGTTGTTGTGTACTGTCTCTTTAAATGTGGCGGACTGCCCTGTTGTTGCTGTGCTGGAAACCCCGTACGTATTCTGAAGGGACCCAAGATGGCTGAATACTCACGGGGGGGGCAGTTAGCAATTATCTGAGCAAGACGTCGGAAATGAATGGCATATAGCAATATAGTGTAAAGTGTTACCCTGCAATAATTATACGACTACCGTTTGTTGGTTTGCACACTTTTTGGGATGCATGGATACCATTAAGGAGAGAGTAGTCCCTCCGCGGCCCCGAGCCAGAACATGGCGGAACACTTGGGGGAGAAATAGCAGCTAATACTAGCTAACGTTAGCTGTCGTATTACTCGGACTGAATTAGAAACATTAATCTAGGGCGAACACGGTATCTTCGATCCGCAAGTGTGAAATAATGTTATCGATGCACAGCTCTGGGCGTTTCGCTTTAAAACGTTGTTTAACATTGAATATACGGAGCGTAGGCACTTAGCGTACTGCTAGCTAACCCGTTTGGCTTTCTAGCTAACGCAACTGGCACTTGTGCAGTTTAAACGCTGCCCGTACGAACTGCACAAATAAGCAGGTTGTCGGTTTTATGGGACGTGTGTCGCAACGGTGGGGTTTGTTGTAAATACATTCTATCTACTGCGTGCTAGGACGTCCCGAAGTCTGTCTGCCCTCGTTTAGTCGATTAACACGTTAGCTAACGTCAATGCCCTCCGCAACCGAACTGTCGTTAGCTTGCTACAATGGTACGTGACGTGATTTCGTGTGGCGCGTTGCCTACAACGCTGGCGAGATAACTTTTCTTTGAGGCTGCTCGTGAAAATACGCAGATCTTGCAGAATCGATCGGGCAAATCATCCTGGATACTAGCCGGCGTGTTCAGCCTGTAAGGTCCTCCGAAGAAACGATTGCTCGGTTGACCCCTGACACTCACGTATAGTTAGCGTTGCACTAGTGATCGGCTGCGAAAGGAAGTTGTGGCGCTACCAGGTGGAGTAGACACCCTGTAAAAGAGTTTCCGGAAAGGGGCAACCGGTCACAACTACCTGCCAGGATGACGGACACTCGTCGCCGGGTCAAAGTCTACACCCTGAACGAGGACCGGCAGTGGGACGACCGTGGAACCGGCCACGTCTCCTCGGGCTACGTGGAGCGTTTGAAAGGCACGTCTCTACTCGTCCGGGCCGAGAGTGATGGTAAGGCGAAGAAACGACCCATGGAGAGGGGGGTGGGGGGCTAATGGCACATGCCGGCCAACATATCACTTGCATCGTATCGGCCAATGTTACAGCAGATCGATACTTACTATATGTAAACAATGCCTTCGAGACGCGTATTTTTATCAGCTGGAAGCATGTATGTGAGGCTTCCTTATGATTTACAACTCAACACCCTTGTTCACCTGACAGGTTCTCTACTCCTGGAGTCCAAAATCAATCCAAACACAGCCTACCAGAAACAACAGGTCGGTACATAGCGCGGTGTAGGATGCTCATCTAGAACATGGATTGTTTTGGCAAATCTAAATCGGCTTTTTTGTTTTTCTTTCCCGAAGGACACTTTGATAGTATGGTCAGAGGCCGAAAATTATGATCTGGCACTCAGCTTCCAGGAGAAGGCTGGCTGTGACGAAATTTGGGAGAAGATATGCCAGGTAGCCGCACTTTCATCGTGGCTGTGTGTGTTTTGTCCGCTCAGTCTGTGGATGTTTTTTTGATATCCTGTTTCAACATTCCGCTTTGTCTCGTTGTTAAGGTTCAGGGAAAGGACCCATCAGTGGACATTACCCAGGATGTGGTCGACGAGTCTGAGGAAGAACGCTTTGATGACATGTCCTCGCCGGGTCTGGAGTTGCCGCCATGTGAACTGAATCGCTTGGAGGACCTGGCAGAGATGGTGGCCTCCTCCCTCCCGTCACCGCTGCGGCGCGAGAAACTGGCGCTAGCTGTGGAGAACGAGGGTTACATTCGCAAGATCCTGGAACTGTTCCGCGTGTGTGAGGATTTGGAGAACAGAGAGGGACTGCATCACCTGTATGAAATCATTAAAGGCATCTTCCTGCTTAATCGCACTGCACTCTTTGAGGTTATGTTCTCGGAGGAGTGCATCATGGACGTCATTGGTTGCCTGGAGTTTGATCCGGCACTTGCGCACCCACGGCGGCATCGGGAGTTTCTAACTAAGACGGCCCGCTTTAAAGAGGTGATCCCCATCTCGGATCCTGAACTTCGTCAGAAAATACACCAGACGTATCGGGTGCAGTATATTCAGGACATGGTGCTGCCCACGCCCTCTGTTTTTGAGGAGAACATGCTGTCCACCCTGCACTCCTTCATCTTCTTCAACAAGGTGGAGATTGTGGGCATGCTACAGGTGAGATGGGCGAGTGTGACAGGCGTTCTTCTAAAGGCTATTTCGTATTTTCAAAATAAGACACCGGTCTTCCAAGTTTCCCTTTTTTTAAAATTATGTTTTCATACGAAAATCAAATAATGCAAAAGTAGATTCTGTACAAGCTTTACAGAATGACATCTTTCCGTAATATCAAAAAGCAAACGTAAGAGAATATTTGAATAAATACTTGAAATCATATCAATTGTAGGGTTGTTCAACGGTTTTAATTAAGGCGGATTGAGCTTCACCCAGTCTGAGTTTGTCTGCTATTCTTTTATGGTGATGTGACCTTTGTGTTTTTGTACTGTGTCAACTCGGCAGTGTTTATGTATGGCCGTCTCCATAGAGATGGGGAAGTGTTGTGTAAATCGGTTATGCTGCGCTGGAGGAAAACAAACGGCCAGGCTGTTGACTTCGGTGCACCGAGCTTTGTGAAGTTCTGAAGTCGAACGCTCCTCATATGGACCGTCTCCTATTTCTGTCTCGTCTCACGAATGTGCCAAGTGTCTTATTCAAGCAAGCATTTGATATACGGGATTGTAGATATTATTAAGAATGGATTTTCTTTGATGTAAATGTTAACTTATAACAGTGGAATGAATGTACATGTATTTGATAGTGCTTGTCAATTTATTCCAAAAACGATGATTATAATACCATAGGATGTTGCAAAGTGGTAAAAAAGATTAGTTTCTTGGTAATATGCATGTGACAAATACCCCAGTACTTCAACAACATTATAGCAACAGATTTAACAGAGTGCGGAATTGGCCCAGGATGATTGATTGCGATTGACAGGGTAACTTTCTTGTATTATAATAGGTTGACACTATGTGATACTCACTACGTCTTATCTACTCCTGTTGTTTTTTTTTATGTCAGGATGATGAGAAGTTCTTGACAGACCTTTTTGCACAGCTAACAGATGAGGCTACGGATGATGACAAAAGACACGAACTGGTATGCCGGACCTTCCATCAACGTTATTTATCAAAAATTTTCTTTTAAAAATAAATCCTTTGCTCTTCTATCACTGAGGTTTTTTTTCTTTTCTTCTAACTTACAGGTGAACTTCCTAAAGGAATTTTGCGCCTTCTCACAAACGTTACAACCTCAAAACAGAGACGCCTTCTTCAAGACATTGTCAAACATGGGCATTCTACCGGCACTAGAGGTCATACTGGTGAGTATTTTATTCTTGAACATGCAAATGAACTTTCTGTGAAACAAATCAAATATTTCTTTAGTATTTTTTTAAATGTTATGTTTTGGCCCCATAGTGTCAAACATTGAGAATTACCATATATTGATAATTTGCCATAAGCATACTAAAAAATATAAATCAATCGTCAAGGTGGCTGCTGCAGGTTGTCCTGGTACTATTTGATCTTAAGGAGGAGCATTACTGCATTTGGGTTGTGTTACAGCCCTGGTGTAGTTGGGCACATATTGACTGGGGCATCATCATACCTGGCTGCGTTATTGGTCAGGAGAATACACTCCTCTGCCCCCCTGAGATCCCCTTTCAAATGTGTTTGAAAAAAAAAAGAAGCATCAGTCATGTGTAAATATAAATGCAGTGAGGCTGCCAAGCTTAGCCTTACAGGCGAGGGTGCGTGCGGGCGTGTGTGTGTGTGTGTCCCAGCATCATCATTCAGTTTGAAAGGTTTAGTGTGGACAAAGAGCGCTGACTTGATTTACAGCTTATTAAGTTTTGCCTCACAGAATTAAGCCTGTGCACTTAAAACAAATACAAACACATTCTGCAAGTGCCTCGAATCCATCACGATATGATTTCAGAAACCTCCTTTTATTTTGCCCAACCAACCATTTTTTAAAATTTATTCCGACATGTTCATTCCCAGCTTTAATATTGTCTGTTGGAGCGGTTAGTTTGATCGCCAACGTGTGTTCTCCTGTTGAGCTGTGTGTGCACACGTAGGCCTCCACCTTCACGCATATAGTTGTTTGTTTGAGTAATACCTGCTTCATCCCTCCCATGTCCACTTACACCCTTCTGAAGTACATAAGCTGGCAAATTAAACGCAGTTGGGTCGTATTTTGTTTTTAAGCCTTAAATGATCTCTGATGGGGGGGTTCACAGTCCACTGAACATATTTCATGTTCATGAAACAGGGAATGGATGACGTCCAGGTGCGTGGGGCAGCCACAGATATTTTCTCTTATCTGGTGGAGTACAACCCTTCCATGGTACGAGAGTTCGTCATGCAGGAGTCTCAGCAGAATGATGATGTGAGTTCATCAACAAAATCCGTCAGAAATTCAACAAATAGTGATTTACTTCGAATCCTGTGGATTTATGTGTTACTAATGATTGATTATTTGCTTTCCAGGACATCCTCCTGATCAACCTGATCATAGAACACATGATCGTGATATAGACCCCGAGCTGGGGGGAGCAGTGCAGCTGATGGGTCTGCTACGGACTCTGGTGGACCCTGAGAACATGCTGGCCACTGCAAACGTGAGTTTGAGCGCTGCCGCTAAACACGGCGCTTTCCACCAGGCGATGGCTTGACCTTAAACCAGACACGTCCAGCCCGCGTGTAGATGTGTGTGTAGATATTGTTAAAAGCTAAAGAGCTGCACTGTGCCGCTAACCGAGCAACTCTCCAGTAGTTCAGAGGCCAGAGCGCGGCACCATGTCTTTCTTTTGCTTTCTGTGAACATTTACTTTATAATCAATGATACAAATACAATTCAGTTTGTCCTTTTTTTCCCCTCCAGAAAACGGAGAAGACGGAGTTCCTGAGCTTCTTCTACAAGCACTGTATGCACGTCCTCTCGGCTCCGCTGCTGGCCAACACCACAGAGGAGAAGCCGAGCAAAGGTACTGTGTGTGTATCTGTATCTACGCACGTGTGCTGGCTTTGTAAATACAGCGCTGACCGCTCCCTTCGTTCTCCTATTAGATGATTTTCAAACGTCCCAGCTGCTGGCCCTGATTCTGGAGCTGCTGACGTTCTGTGTTGAGCACCACACCTATCACATAAAGAACTACATCATCAACAAGGACATCCTCAGGAGGGTGCTGGTGCTCACGGCCTCTCAGCACGCCTTCCTGGCACTATGTGAGTCACACGGGGTCATTCTAGGTACGGGACGACATTGTGAAGCTTTGTAAAAGCTCATTTTAGAGTCGGTCTTCCTGTGTGCAGGTGCCCTACGCTTCATGCGGAGGATCATCGGACTGAAGGATGAGTTTTACAACCGTTACATCATGAGAAACTTTCTGTTCGAGCCGGTCATCAAGGCCTTCCTCAACAACGGCTCACGCTACAATCTCATGAACTCGGCCATTATTGAGATGTTTGAGTATGTCCGTGTGGTGAGTATTTTCTCCAGATGTCCCCAGCAATAGTTTCCTTACAAGTTAACATATTGTACAATGTATCTTATGCCAGCCTTTTATACTCCTTCCATACTCAGAAGTAGACATTTCTTTATATTTGATCATGTTGATCATGGTCTACTGTGCTAGTTGCCTGCTTCAAGTCTCTCAAAGGAAAGCAACCGTCCGTCAAACAACACGTCTTTTTAATTGATCTTCTTTTCTGGCTCAAGTTCATTAAGCATATTACTGCATTTTGCTTATGCATACTAACCACACTACGGTCAACCAGTTATCAATAGTTGACCATTGACATCACGATGGAACATGGCAGATTGTTTTGATTCATTTTAACTTGTTTGGTTTGTTGCCCCCCCCTTCATGTCTCCCGCTTGCTGTTTTTCTCCACACTTCATTGTTATTCTACTCTCCTTTTCATACCCCCACCCCCCCACCTCCTTCCTCTCATCTTGCCCCACGCTGTGTCTCTGCGCTCCCCCTCCTCTCCTCCCATTGCCCCCAGGAGGACGTGAAGTCTCTCACGGCTCATATAATAGAGAACTACTGGAAAGCTCTGGAAGACGTCGACTACGTCCAAACGTTCAAGGGCCTAAAGCTGCGATATGAACAGCAGCGAGAGAGACAAGACAACCCCAAGCTGGACAGGTGAACCAAGCACAGCTGCTCTGCTATTACCATTGGATGGTTTCCAGTGTGCATTATGGGTATTCTTTTGTCCAGGGTCTTGTGTCAGTTGCTATGGGCAGTGCCTCTTATAATAATAATAATAATAATAATAATGTTATTCATCCTCTCCAGCATGCGCTCCATCCTGAGAAACCACCGCTTCCGTCGCGACGCGCGGACGCTGGAGGATGAAGAGGAGATGTGGTTCAACACGGATGAAGACGATCTCGAGGACGGTGAGGCGGTGGTTCCTCCATCCGACAAGATGAAGAGTGAGGAAGACCTCATGGAACCTATAAGCAAGTTCATGGAGAGAAAGAAATGTACGTATGGAAATACATCGTCTTCTTGTTTGTTGCAGGGGAGAAAATGTGTGGCAACAATAATGACTGATTTGTTTTGGAATGAGAGATTTTTCTATCCTGGTATTTGTGGTTTCTAAATTGTTTTACAATTTAATGGGCTGAGCTTTTATGATGGTTCTATCAGTGTAAGATAACTTGGTAGGAACATCAAGAGGAGGACTGAGGAGGGAATACCATCAGAAAGGGAGTTTTATACACCCGCCCAATATAGTCACTTGCAATTAGGTAGATATATAATAAATCAACCTTTTACGAGCTATTGGAAATATACTGTTGCATATTGTCATTTTTACTCTCGGTCTCAAAATACATTTAATTCTAGTTCTTTGTTAGTCTGTTGATTTTGGGTGAGACACACACAACGAAATGTGTCTTCTAAACGCTTGTGTTCCTAGAACATATACTTGTTCACCTGTCGAGTGGTGAAAGAGGACGTGATGACCCTGTTTTCTCCCTCCTGTCCCTCAAAGTGAAAGACACGGACGACAAAGACGTGCTGGGGAAGTCGAGCTTATCCGGCAGGCAGAACCCGAGCTTCAAGCTCTCCTTCTCTGGCTCCACCAAAACCAGCCTGTCCAGCCCTCCTTCCTCTGCCTCGTTGAACCCGGGCTCTCCGGGATCACCGGGCTCTCCGGGCTCGGGGGCGCGGAGCTCTGCCTCCCCCACAACTGTAACCACAAAGGTAGCCGTCGGCGTTTTAACGCTTTAAGCGCCTGAAAAATTAGTCGGAATGATGTGATTTTTGACTTGTGTTTCCTCTCCAGGGAGGCTTGGTGGGACTGGTGGACTATCCCGACGACGACGATGAGGATGACGAGGAGGACGAGGACGAGGAGGACGGCGAGAGCAAAGAGGACCCTCTGCCTCCCTCGAAGAAGTCCAAGCTGAGCTCCTAAAGAAGCTCCGCTGCTCGGGGCGGGTGCAGCCCACAGACCTTTTGCAGGGTTGATCAAGCTTGTAAACCGATGAATGATTTTAGAGCCACGCAGCGGGCGGCCACACGGAGGAGCAGACTGTGCACGGATGCAAGGCCTCCTCAGACTAGTCCGCTTCATACAAGTGCCAATCAGGAAACCCGGAGTAAAAAAAAAGAAAAAGAAAAAAAAAGAAAGAAAAAACGTCTGGAAGCGTGAATGTCGGGGGAGGAAAAGATCCGCTCGGTAGGTGGTGGGCGCACTTCGGGCCGGTTACTCAGACCGCATTCGAAAAAAACATGTACACACCGACTGAAACCCCAGAGAGCCTGCCGGCTCGGACAACAACCCACTGCCCCCCCACCTCCCCTCATCCCTCCCACCCCCGCTCCCACCAGCCCCCCCCACTCAGGGAATGACATCACAGCGGCCCAAATAGGTCGGCCAGTTCAGACCCAGAACCACCACTCGCACCCCCCTCCCCCCTTGAGAATTCACCTTCCTCCTCGTTCGTTTCCACCTGCTTCTTTTGCTTCTCTTCTTTTTCCTCCTTTCTTCATCTGCTGCTTTTGAACCCAGTTTTTTTTTTTTTTTCGTTAGTGTATAATACCAGACGGGAGGCGGCGTGCGGCGCCGTCCTTGTTGTCGTTTGATGATGTCATCAGTGTTGTCGTTCTTCAACGGACATTCTTTCTCGGAAGAGAAAAAAAAAGCCAGCAGTTTCTTCATCATTTTGTTTTTGTTCTCTCTTTGTCTCAATCTTTCTCCTGTTTTTTGTAAATGATGACAAAAAAAGACCTGCCTTTAAATGTTCAGGACGTTTTCAGTCAAACTTGAACAGGTTTTTAAAGACCTCAGTAGGTGAGCTAGTTTTACCCTTTTTGCCCTTTGAAACTGCAGATTTTTTGGAGAATTTGTAATCCCGTCTTGATTAAAGATTGAGTGGAATTCTAGATGTGATGAATTTTGTCATATCTTTTCTTTTTTTTTCCTTTTACATTAGTGTACACTTAGTTGTTCAGAATATTTGGGACCATTAAAATGATCTTTGCTGTAAGATGTCCTCCTCGCTGCATCGTGCTGTTATTGATCCGTCCCGGTTGCCTCGGCAACACGAGAATATAACTGCAGTGCAGAAGGTCCGGCTGGGTTCAACTTGGTTCCACAAACTATTATCCGGCAGCTCAACCCGACTCCACGTAGATTAGGGAAAGACCTCCGATGCCGCCCTAATACTGTAAAAATGTGAAATTTCAGTGTACATTTTCATACTTTGAAACATGTCTGTTATTACCAAAACAAATTGATGTTGTGAAAACCATGTACATGAGAAAATATATGGTCAGCTTCTGTTGTCTTAGGACAAACTTTGTTGATTTGACTCAACTTTAAAATGTATTTTGAGCCCTTGGTTCTTTCATTTTTCTTGGCGTACCTCAGTTGCTGATGTCGTTGTGATCCACCAGGTGGCGCTCTGAGTCCATAAGAGAACCATCGAGAGACGCGTAATGCCCGTCCTTGAATTCTTTCACTGGATGTGTTTGGGATGCCGTCATTTTGGCACAACCGCGGTTAAACCCCGCTGAAGGTTTGATGCGTCTATTGCATCAAACCTTCATCCTATGGGTTTATTATCCTTCCAGTACCACGGATTGTAAAGCAATTCTTCCGCATAAACTAAAATATCATATTCAATAACTCTAACTTCATCGCATGGAGGTTAAAAACAAGGTTGTGTTGCAGTGAAAGATTATACTTATATATTTGTTGATCTGGTCCTTTGGTGTTTATCAGCTCGAGGTGACGTGCTGATTTAGCACCGCTGCACGCTGGTAGACCATAAAGTGTTGCTTTTTCTTTTTTATACAAAGAGTGAAAATAGTTTACAAAAAATGTCAGCGCCTCCCAGCCTATGTGGTCGCCTCGGTGGGGGTTTGAGAGCAACTCCAAAAACAAACCGCGTCCAAGGCCACCGAGGAGTCCCTGTGTTGTCCCTCCAAGTGCATTGTGGGGCCCCCAAAACGCCGCTTGTTATTTCCAGGAGCCGACAGAAGCGGATCGCTTGGGTACTCGGCGTGCAGCGCGCCGCGGCGCCCCAATCCAGGCTCCCGCTCGCACGAAAGCCGCCGGCAGACAACAGCAGCTTTTTTTTTTTTTTTCCAGGAGTGGCCCCATCCCGCCAGCCTCCGTCCGCTCCGCAGCAGGAATGTGGCAGAATGTGTGTGCGTGTGTCCCTCTGCCACTGGAGAGGCCAACCCGCTGCCGGTGCCAGCCTCTGCTCCACCAGAATGCCGGCTGCCCTGCCGGTGCCAAGGCGCTCACCCGGCTCTGCCCGCCTGAATGTCTGCCAGACGGAGGAGTCGCCCATCGGGAGACACTGCCGTCCAGCTTCCCGCCGGGCGCATGAAAAGCTTCTTTGACGGCTCTCTCCGTTTGGCTCGTCTTCCCCCGGCTGCCAACTGCCACTTATCGGGGGGGAAGGGAGGTGGGGGGGGGTGTCGCCTGTGACTGATCACGTCGGTAGATGTTGTGGGCAGATGACGATGAACAGTGGCGTGAAATCAGGCAACGCAAACAATATTGCGCCTTGTTGGTGGATAAGTTGTGCGCATGTTTTAGTGAGACAACCATAATTACGCATCGTAACCCGGGGAGAAAGTAGACATTATTCTCCATCCACCCGACCCGATACGCAGACCCCCCCATCTCAGTTTTGGGTCCTTGGATAAGATACTAGAATAAGCCAAATTCACAATGTAGTGTACTTTTTACGACACTATAGGTGTTTGAAAGCTTTAGTTACTCTTCAGATATCCAATAAAAGATCAGTTAAGAAAGTAGTGGTTTCCATCCATCAAGATATTCTCCCTCCAAACGTCTCACATTGTCTCATTCAAATCAGGGTTTGAGTCCTGAAGGTAAAACTCACAGAAAAGCTTGAAATTAAAAAAACGTCTTAAAGATAAGATCCCGAGGTCTGTCTGCGTAAGGGGCCCTGACCCACAGTTTGGTAACTGCCGGATTTAACGATAAACAAAAAAGTCCTTCCGTTATGAGCTCTTTTATTCAGTGTATCAATGTTCTGTCATTTGGTGCAGGGAACAGTGGGTTAGTTGGTTCTTGATGCTTAGTACTTGTGTTTCTAACCCAAAGAGGCTCACCCGTAGGGGGCGATGGAGACTACTCGGGTAGATTTAATAAACTCCAGATCAATAGAAGAAGAAATAACTCATTAGACGGTCCTGGTCGTGACAGGAAGTCACCTGTCACTGCAGTTTCCCCCACCAAACCTCTGTGCTACTTTCTGCTCTCGGGGAGCGACCTCGCCGCTATCAAAGCAGCGATCCAAACACTGCTCCATTATCTTAATCCCGTGTAATCCTCCGAACCGACCCGGGATATGAAACAGGAAACGTGGCGCACACATGCAGGTTTTTGTTCGGAAGCCGAGGTTGTCAAAACACCCGCTCGGAGTCCACCGCCGCGTCTGCCCCCGCCGGGGCCTGGCGTCTCGGGCCGGACAAAGACCTGTGTTTCCCCCCCCGGCACAAAGTGCTCTCTGTGTCCGCCGGAGCTCCCCTTGATTTAATGGGGGAGGTACGGAGGAGGTGGGGGGGGCTGGTCCATGTTCAGCTCGCCGCTGCGTGTGATTAATCACCGTGTTAAAAACAACCCCCCCTCCTCCCCCCGTCCGGGGTCAGCGTCCGTCGGTAGCGAATGAAAGAGGAGAGCACTCGTCACCCGTCACATGTGGTTCGCGTTAAAAGGCGGAGAGGTGAGACGCGGGGAAGTCCGACGTGCCTCTCATGCCTCACCCCTTTGAGGTGGCGCGCTGAACTGATGTCTGACACGTGAACTGAGTCGAGGGGTCAGCGCGCGGACCCCCGGCGGACACCGCGGCCCTCGATGAGTGCGCAGGCCGGGAGAAGGCCCATTTCTTGTGTGTTTGAGACATGAAGCAGGATGCTGACTAACTAAACTCAGCCTAATGACTAAAGCCCAGTGCTTTTATTTGAGGCGTCCGCTCGTCGAAGTCGGCCTCCATCAGTGGTTTTTATTCATCAAACTAAAACAGGGATGTTCCGTATAGCAACTCGAATGGCCGATTGTCTGGTACTGAGTGAAGTTTCCCCTACAGCTCATTAATTAAACAAACCATACATATTGATTCGCCAAAGTCCAGATATAGTCTCTGAACTAAAATGCTCTAGAAATGTGCTCGGTCAAACCTCTAAAATGTCTAAAATGTGCCTCTTTAATTTGTCTCTGAATGTGGAAGTGTTGCTTAGAACCTCTGGGAAATTGTGGTTCCAAATTCCTCCCCATGATTTATTGTCATAATGGTGATTCGATTCTAAACCAGAATATTGCAAATAATATTTAGAGGGTCTCGATCCCCACGTCTGGAACCATCTGAGCACAAACGTCTTTTTGTCTCTGCTCATAACTTGCAGCTCAACACTTAAGCTCAGAGCACCTACAACTGTTCCCAAATGTGCCCCCATAAAAGCGGCGGTAAGCCCGCGCGGCCTTTGTTTCCTCCGCAGAAGGCCGTGGGTGCCTCCATAACTCTTGTCGCTCTAAATCAAAGACAAGTAATGAGCTTTTCCTGTGGACGCGTCGGCCGCGGGGGGAAGAATTTGGGGCCTGATCGGCCGTCGCTAAATGTTAAGTGGTTGGTATTGTGCCTCAGCGTGGGGCACGGGAAACATGGATGTGAATGTAAGAGCTCTTGGCCCTGTGTTTTAAATGGAAATGTCACAGTGATAAAGGGCGCCCCTTCCGCACTGAGGCGTTTGTGTGTGTGTGTGTGTGTGTGTGTGTGTGTGTGTGTGTGTGTTGTACTCTGCAGGCACGCTGTAAATCCACACCACGAGCTGCAGATAGCCGATCACACACTGACTTCAGCACACCCGGATCTATTCCTAGAAGCCGCGTACTTTCCAGGAGTTTACAGTTTAACGGCGGAGTGAAATGTGTGTGTGTGTGTGTGTGTTTGTGTGTGTTTATGTGTGTGTCTGCTGGGGTCTGACAGATATAATCCCCAATCATATAAACGTCTGCGCCCATTAAAAGCGTGTAAAACTCACACTGAATAAAACAAAAAAAACAACTTCACCAGCCGTCTGCGGGGAGGGGGGGTGAGGGGGGGCACACAGCGGCCCCCGGAGCCGTTGTTTGGGCGCCGGGAAGACAGAATGGCTCCTGCGAAGGAGAGCGCAGTGAGAGGCCGCCATGTCGAAATGGCCGAGCGGCGATGAATCCACCTCACCCAACGTGGCATGAATGAAGCCCTTAAAGGTGTCCGCCTGCAGGACGCACGGTTCAGCAGGAGTTGAACATGTGGGACCAGTAACACGTGCACACACACGTGCACACACGCGCACTCCCCCAGTCGGGATTCTACTGTGTACATTAAAGCCAACAAATCAAACCTCGAGCTGTATGTTAACGTCCCGGCGGGCGGCGGCGTCTCGCCGGTAACACAAAACTAACCAAACAGAACTTTTCCCAAATACAGTAGCAGTCAAAAAAAAGGCTGTTTTGACATCGACAATTTGTGTCCACTCTTCGCTCCCGCAGAGACGAGACGCTGTTTGTGGATCACAGGGCGGTTTGATTCCCTCCCCGGCTCCCGCTGCTCGAGTGTCTGAGGCCTTTGACGTCGCGCGGCGCCGGCGTCCGCTCTCTGCCAAGGCGGCGTGTGTGGTCGACAGGCAAGGCAGGCTGGTGGGGCCGTAGGACAGCGAGAGGAGAGGGGGGGGGGGTCGAAAGCGGAGGCCCCCCCCCCTCCCCACGCCCCTCTCTTCGGTCCCTCGCCACGTCTCCGTTCGGTGTCCCCGCTTTCCCCTGGCTGACCTCGGGTAACTCTTACCTACCGTGTGAGGCATGTGCCTCTTTTATGAGTTTCTGCGCGGTGCTAAGACACATTTCCAACCTCCCCCCCTCCCCCTTCTCCTCCCCCCCCGCCCCCCCTCGCAAACTTACACCTCATCTCTCCCCTCCGCCTTGTGGCCTGGGGGCATATGGTTTTGGCTGGGCAAGAGATAAGAGAGATGTGTC